CAAACTCGTATTTGTAAATAAATCTAGTTAGAACGGCCTCGGCCAAAGTCTTACATAGCCTCGAGCTCACTAGACTCTAATGGAACAATAATAAACCCGGCTACTTAGTGACGCCGCGATACATCATCTGATTTCATCCGCCCAAACTTGGCCTTCACTGTGGTTATTCCTTTTCTTGCTCCCTGCGCCCGTTGTCGCGACCCTTCTCCGTCAACAACATCGCAGCCAGCCAGTCAGCCAGCCACCGTCGCAATGGCTTCGCAAGGTCAGGCCGCCGACTACTTTTCGGGTGGCCCGCCGCCCCAGCAGCCTCAGGGCGCATACTACCAGGGCCAGCCTTATGGACAGCAGCCTCCCCAGTACAACCAGGGCTATGCGCCGCCTCCAGGCCCGCCGCCCATGCAGCACAATGGCTATCAGCAGAATGGATATCAGCAGAGCGGCTACCAGCAGAATGACTACGGCGACGAGAAGCAGAGCTTTGAGCAGACGTTCAAGCTCGAAAAGCCAGCCTACAACGACTGGTGGGCCGGTCTGCTCTTCATAGCCGTGTTCCTGGGCTACGTGGCTGTGAGCGTAATCTCCATACGAGGATACGGTTAGTACTGCAATTCACAGCCTCGCGCTCGGCATGCCCAAGGAGAATGCTAACGCTCGACGCAGCGCGAACCAACCGAGGAGGCATCTACGGCAACACTACCAACCAGTTCGCCCTCAACTCCAACACGATTATCCTCTTTGCCTTTGTGCTCGGCATGGCGACCGTCTTTAGCTACGCGTACATCTGGGCCGCGCGCAAGTTCACCAAGCAGTTCATCTGGATCACGGGCATCCTCAACATTGCCTTTGGCTTCGTCACGGCCATCTACATGCTCTCAAGGAGGTACTGGTCTGGCGGCATCGTGTTCCTGATTTTCAGCATCTTCTACGTCATCTGCTTCATCAGCTGGATCCCCAGGATCCCGTTCAGCGTCCTCATGCTGCAGACGGTGATTGATGTGTCGAAGAAGTACGGACACACGTATCTTGTATCGCTGGGCGGCGGACTTGCTGCTGCGGCTCTGGGTGCCTGGTACTCGGTTACGCTGGTGTCGATTTACGTTCAGTACACGCCAAATGGGGCCAACTCCAACTGTAGGAACGGTGTGGGCAACTGTGGAAACGGCAAGGTCATTGGGCTGCTCGTCTTCGTCACGTTTGCCATGTACTGGATCTCCGAGTAAGTGGTGAGGGCGCAATCGGGAATGTGCCGCTTGCTAACAGCAACATAGATGGCTCAAGAACACCATCCACGTAACTATTTCTGGCGTGTACGGGTCGTGGTTCTTTGCGCCGAATGCGATGCCCCGAGGCGCGACGCGAGGGGCTTTCAAGCGGGCCATGACCTATAGTTTCGGCAGCATCAGTCTCGGAAGCCTGGTCGTGGCCATTATCCAGTTCCTGCGCCAGATTTGCTCGGCTGCTCAGCAAAACGCTGCAGGTGACGGCAACATGGTGGGCGCCATCTTGTTCTGCGTGCTCGGCTGCATCATCTCGGTGCTGAACTGGGCGGTCGAGTTCCTGAACCGATATGCATTCAGTTACATTGCGCTGTACGGGAAGAGTTACATTGCGGCGGCGAAGGATACTTGGAGGTGAGTGTTGGGCAGTGCAACGGGCAGGTGGCCGCAGGCTAACTTTGACAGAATGATCAAGGACCGTAGCATCGATGCGCTGGTCAACGAATGCTTGATCGGCCCCGTGCTGTCCATGGGCGCTACGTTTATCGCATATGCGTGCGCACTACTAGCCTACCTCTACCTCATCTTCACGTCGCCGGCATACAACGCTGACGGCGGGTACACGCCAGTCGTGGTTGCTTTTGCGTTTGTGATTGGGCTGCAAATCTGTAAGTTGGCTGTAGTCGCGGTGCTAGCGGGCGGTTGGGCGCTGACTTGTCTCAGGCAAAATCTTCACGACGCCGTTGAGCAGTGGCATCGACACGGTCTTCGTGGCCATGGCATGGGACCCGGAGGTCCTTATGCGCGAGCATCCCGATCTCTACCACAGCATGGTGGCTGTGTACCCACAGGTCCAGCAGGCCATCCACGCCTAGGGCGGAAGCATGGCCCAATGCAGGCGCTTCCGTCGGCGTCGGCTCAGGGCGTATATGAAATAATAGCCGTATGTAATGACGCGATACCCGTCCGGAGCGATCACGATCTTTGCGCTGCACTCTCTCTTTTTTTCACGATGGTCGTTGGCTATGGCGGGGGGCCCCCCTGGTGGTTGGACGTGGCTTGGCGCAGGCTAAGGGCGGGAAAGCGCACCGATGGCTCCACTTGGCCCTGGCTTCAGCTATGACGTACGCGGGCTGTTTGGTACGCGATGCACATGCCAGAAACTACCATGGCCGGCCGAGCACACGCTGTTGAGGACTAAGTATGGGACCTGGTGCTGCTGGTGCTACTGCTACCGCCTCCACGGCCGAGAGGGCGAGGGCGCCGGGGGACTGGTGAGGCTCTGGCGGGTGATGCTGTCTATGACGACTGAGGTATTAATCTATTCTGTTCTTCACCTGTGCATGTCCAGTAGTCGTAGTCCATGTAGGCCTGCTCCCTGCTA